ATGAAAGTATTGTAATGTTTACTGATAATCTGCAAAAATTCATTAACATATTCTTTTTAATTTAAAAGTTATAGCATGAAAACTATAACAAGCACAAAATGGTTACAAGGTCGGTCACAGGGACTGAACTCAGGTTGAAAGAGTTAACAGGGCATTCAGTACTTGGCCAATGAGCAAAATGACAAGATGAAGCTTTTTACAACAGCATACTGCATTGCAAAACATGGCATGCGTAATCACTCTTTTGATCATTTGTGTGAACAATACAAGCCATCAATAGAGTTGAACAATAAAGGAGCCACTAACGTTATTTCATGCATTTATAAGGTGTCAGTCGAAAAAATGAGTACGCCATGTAAACAGTTCTGAATTATTTTCCATATTAATTGGTGGTTCTACAAACAGATCTATGACAGAGCATGAAATAGTATATGTTCATCTTTTGAGTGATAATGAACCTCGATTCTTTTTCCTTGGGATTGTAAATGTTAGAAATACATGTGCTGATGCAATAAGCAAAGTGCCAATAGACTATATTGAGAATACTGGGATCCAGGCATGGCAGAAAAACTTTGTTGAATTTGGACCAGACAGAGCAAGAATCAATCTTGGTTCAAAGGTTGGAACAGTAAATGTGACAAATCTTGTAGAGATTCACTGTGTGGCACACAGATTAGAGCTTAGTATTTTGGATGCACAAAGGTTTGAAGTATGCAACAGAGTTTCATACCACAATAAAGAGGATACTTAATTATTATTCAAACTCTCCCAAACATTTGCAAGAAATGGAGGAGATTGCTGATTTGTTGAATGAAGCAATTGGAAAATTTGAGAAATGGAATGCTGATTGATGGATTGCTAGTAAGCACTGGACCATGAAAGCTATAAGCAAAACTGGAAAACCACAATTCATCACCTCAAACATATTGCTTCTAGATCAAACTCAGATGAAACTTCTGTTGCCAAGGGGCTCTTAAAAATAATCAAATCAGTTTATTTTTTTACTTCCTCTCACAAATGCAGGATCTTTCATCACAAGCTACACACTTATCAATTTCTTTCCAGTCAGATCATTTAACTTTTGCTGACACTATGAATGAGAACGAAACCACCCTACAAGAGTTAAATCAAATGAAGACACAATATGGATATTATGTTAGGGAAATGAAGGAAGATCTTGTATTTGAGGAGGAAACAGGAGAATATGCCTACAAAGGGGTTCAAGTTAGAGGAACCACAGCTGATGTAGAATGTTGTATTAAAGAATTTGATGCAATTCTTGATAACGTAAACATGTATGTGAATGAGAAATTTCTTCACATGTCAGCAAACTTGTAATTAAAGATTTTGAGATTCTAGATCCAAACTTCCAGCCAACAGGATCTAAGAACTTGTCAAACTATGGCAAAGATCAGCTTAAGAATCTGATTACTCACTACTCTGAATGTTTACTTTCCAGTGTGTCTGATGGTCACAATTCATAGGAGGGAGACCAACAGGCAAGTGAGCCACCCCAGCAGGATGTGATGCATGAGTGGGAATGCTTGAAACATTTTGTATCAAAAATATGTACTTGCAAATCAAAGGATATTTTTTCACATGTGGAATAAACTTCTTGGTGAACAGTTTCATCGTATAAAAGTGACAAGAGGTCAAGGTTGATGGGAGACACCTTGTTAGCCCTGATGACCATCTTGATTGATGGGCTTTAGGTAAAGCAGTTTAATCCTTAGACTGCAATAGACCTCTGGATAAAGGCAGAAAAGACAGCAGAAGACCAGAATCAAATCTTTACTCTCACCATAAGCAATGGGCCAGGCCCTAGGTTTGAAAAAAAAAAAAATCAGAAATCACCCAAAATGATTAAACTACAAAAAAGGCAAGTTGCTTATTGGACATTATTTCCACTGTTAAAGACAAATCTTGTTATGATTCCTTGAAAATTCATAAATTAAATTTTAATACTGTATGTTTATGAAAGAGCAGTTACAGGAGTTCTGAATCATAACAGCAAATTCATAAACATATTGTGCATAAGTTGATGTGTAAAACCAAATTCTTTGTACATACAGAAAAATCTCTCAAATTAATAACTGTTTTAGTGACCTAACAATTATTGTCCATTAGTTTGCAAATAATAAATGAAATGTTGACATACCTAACTAATCACTTGGATTTCTCATTTTTTATTGAATTGGAACTGTTTAATTGTAGCATTACTGCCATACATTTCTTAATATGGATCAATTACTTCATTAATATACATCATCTAAGTTCTGAGGCAGCAATGGGTAGGTTAAAATTAAAATCTCATATTGGTGTTTTCCAGGTGGCACTACATTAAATGTGATAAGAAGCAGACTTAAATAATGCTGTGTTTTGTAAAGAAATAGATTAACATACATTTCAATAAAATAAATCAGTAAATAAAAATGATTATATATTTGCCACCAAGTCTATAGCATAGTTGTGTACCTAAACAAAGATGCTTACCAAACCACATCTTATGCTTACCAAAGTTTGTAAACTTTTATGGACTGGTAAGCACCTTCAGAAAATGAGCTTACCAGCTCCTTACTATGAAATTCCCACCGTGGATACATCATATAGATTTTTTCACACATTTATTACTTTAGACAATTATCCTTACAACCATAGTACTATAAACAAGCTGATAAATCCTCTCCCACCATGTTCTCAGAGCCTGGATTACGATAAACTCCTTGGGAATCATTGGCTACCAACTTCATCATATGAAAGTTATTAGCCTTGTGTTAACCTGCCTCTATGGTCAACCAGCTCAAGTTTCCCCTACTAATCAAAGTAATTGATGCTCTAAGGTAATCAATTATATTGATTAATGGAGTTAACTGCCCCAAGAAATTTGATCCTAATTATGTACTCATTTACACTGTCACACCTAAGATGGCCAGCAATGAAAAGCAAAAGTAAGTCATAATCAAGTACATAATAACTTAATGGGATGGAACCTGGAAATGCACCACAAATTGTCAGAATAACAGTTATAGTCTTTAGGTATAAGAATTTTTACCTTACTTGTAAATGTTAACATTTGGATAATAGTTGACCAAAATCAACCCAAAATAGTGATGTAGGCAAAAAAAGCAAGGGCCTAGTTAGAATACAGTAATTTGCTAGGTTCCTATTACAACTAATTGAACCTAAATATTTAAGAGGGAAGAAGAAATGCATGTTTTAAATTGTGAAATATCAATTCTTTTGTTCTGCTTTTTTATATACTTATTTTCAATTAAGTACTGATAATGTGTCCATCAGTTTTCTCATAATATTTGTAGTATTGAATAATTATAATGGTACTTCTCATATATACATTTATAACAAATCTTTTTATCCAGAGAAAAACAAAACATTCCTAAATGATTGAATGAATATCTTGAAGCTTCAGGCAACAGTTGAATTGCATGTCTAATTTCAAATGGGTGAATCAGTAATTTGTTTAACTTTAATATAAAAATTGATACACATAAGTTTACCAATACCACTCAAAACCAACAAGGCAAATCTTTACATGTGAATAAAAAGCAATATTCTTATTGAAGCAAATGAGGCATAGTGCTTCATGCTTACCTGTACTTTTCCTTCAGGATCCTGAGATACTACTTTTACAGATTTCAAACGCTCCACAAGATCATTTTGAATCACACTGTGCTCTTCAGCTTTGGGATCTATCATCAATGTAATAACAAGGGCATTATTAATATATTGCTTTTAAAGTTTGAAATTAACTCACCTGGCATGGGCAAAAACTGAAATTGAAAGTGTCTGAAAGTAAGAATCTTACTATACTCAATACCCGTCTTTTTTTAACTGAAAATTAGTGAAATAAAAATGTGAAATGATAAGCATCACAAATAAACAGGGGTAACAGACAATTTACCTTTAAACACAGAAAATCTGTCACCCTAAAACAAGTAGCAAGAACAAAATAAATGAAAAATTGCCCTTGCCATTAATCATAGTAGATTATGCACTGCAATAGAGTCAATATTTTCCACTAAAATTAACAAGCTTACAGTATCATCCATCACATATACAAGTATTTTCTTATTGTTTGTGATGTCCGACTTGGGTTTGCAATTGGTTCTTAAAGTTTAGCAACAGATTGCTTCATTATTATTTATCATCAGAAGCAAAGCAAGGTTTTTATTCTATATGCAGCAATTATGAGCTGATTTCCCAACATGAAAAAACAAACTACAACACAAGGAGCCAACTACAGAGGTGGTGGTGCATATGAACAGAGCAGTGTATGAACAGATTCTCAAGCTTTCCCACACTGCCAACTACCTCGCCACACATAAGCTACCCTTTGCTCAGTTTCCAGGTGAAAAAACATGATGTAGACCTTGAAGTGACTCATACCAACACACCAAAGGCAAGAATATTTACAACATTTATAGCTGAGGAGAACCAAGACCACCCTTTGTCAGAAATTAAGACAATATTATTCTTTTGACTGACAGCAGTACTGATCAAAGGAAGAAAGAAAAACAAATAACTCATGTATATTATTAAAACACTAAAAATATGATACACTATAAACAAAATTTTGGGGTAACTTAATGCCATAGTTAGTCTGCAGTTTTTCCCTTCTTATTGGAAAATAGCGTAATTGTCGAACGTAGAGGTGAAATGGGCAGAGAAAGTGATTATTAGAACTTATATTTTTTTGAATAACTATTATAGCCTATATGTATTATTGTAGCCTACACATATTACTAATGGTGGCATATGTTTGAACAACTAGTGTTCCCTTGTTTGATAAGTTACAGTTATTGTATGGGACAGATACAGGACATTAAAAACTCTGCTGTTGCAGTTTTATGACAATCACCATATTGTCTAACAGTGTTAACTTAGCTTAATAAATCAGTTATTTAAATTGATTGTTCTCCCTTTAATGAAATACTAGGGGGAAAGCTCATGTTTCACATACAAAACATTTTTTTGGTTGTAGTATTTTGTATTTGAATGCATAAAGTTTATAAAATGTATTGGCAGTGCTGTGTATTAAAAAGTAACTAAAATAGATAAGTGACCTGCCTAGACTACTCATATATGAGATTAGGTACATAAAGTTATGAAAAAATCTGATGGCTGTGCAAGAAGTCTCAATGACTGCGAGGTTAAACCTATTCCACAACACATGATGCCCACCAAACACCTCTAGTAAAGAAAAGAAACTTTGAGACAAATAATCTGATCAAAAATGACAAACTGATCAAGTTATCTAGTAAGAGACATCAGATCTAGCAATGCTTTCAAAACATGGGTAGCAGGGCTAAGTAACAAAACTCAACAGGGTGATGGTATTGGTCATCTACTGTCTATAAACAAATGAATAATATCACATAGAACACTTTAACACATAAATACTGCTGTCCGAGATGAGGCTCAGAGGTATAATAGATTCATTCCCCAAATACTTTTCCCTTTGTAATGCACAGTATTATCTACACCCACCCATTCCTTAGATGTATAGTGACATTGTCTGTACGTCCCTACTCCTAATTTCATTTTTGCATAATTTATTAAAGTTTAAGAAATTTCCTTTGCATGGATGCACATTAACCTTTTAATAACATAGATAACTATGTAACTGCATAAAATCTTACCTGTAAAAAACAGGAATACTGACATTCTACTTTTTGTTTCTTACCCTTGATTTTAGCTTTTCTGTTATGCTTTAAACTCTCAGTCCTTATTAAATACCACATATAACAAAGGAAAATGTTTTATACAATATATTTTTCATTAGAAAGTGTAAAATGGTGGCTCACAGAAACATAATTTCATAAGGAGTGGAGATGAATTGTTATTCAACACATTTATAAAAAACATTAAATTAATAATGACAATTCACCTTTCAAGAGAATTCAGAGATATTAAGTGTTATGGTAATAATATATTAGCAAACACATTATCAAGTCTCAACCCCAACATTCAGTTCACTGTATGGTTCATTTCATTTTATTTTTTTGCTTACTGCTGTCTTAATTTTACATTTTTTTGCACAATTCAAGATGTCTTAAGTGGTACTGCTGATGGTTTTCTGTATTGCATGAATTTGACTTTTGAAAATGCAAACATCCATTACTGGAAGAACTATGAAGTAGGGTTTTTGGTCAATGGGGGCCAAGGAAAACTTTGGCAAGAACAGGGTAAGCTTCATTGAGCTAGGAAAGAAAATGTCATGTCTCATAAGGGTCCACCAAGTTGCACATTGACTTGAACAACTAGCTGCCAATGATGTATTAACTCTCTCACTATAGACTCAGTCCCAGGGATCAACCTTGTAACCTTTTTGTGCTTGTTAGAGTTTTCATACTATAAATTATAATGTAATTGTGTATCTTCACAAAATTTTGTAAACATTACAAGACTTTAGTACACAAAATATCAGATTTTTAAAATTAAGTTTAATTTTTTTCTTTTCTTTTCGAATGTTGATTACTCAACATGTAAAGTAATTTTGATTTTAAGATTAAAAATACTTTTAGGCATCAGAAAATTGTCAAATTTCACATGCAAACTTTACAACCTTCTAATAACTTCTAGATAATTATCTAACATTTTTTAATGATAAAAAATGTATATCTTATCTGTTATTTTCACTATTGTATCTCTGTATGGGTTTGGTTGATTTCACTGACCTGATAACCAACATAAAACATTGGGAAATAGATATAAATTATGCTTTTTTTCATCCTAGAGTGACTACAGATTATAACAAAAAACCTCAAATATTTAGTCTAAATAGCTTAAATTTCAATGTTATTGTCTATATATATTTATTATTTTTATTGACCTTTCAACCATGTATGACTAACATTACAGAAGTTGCAATGACACAGTGCACATGGACTCGTGTTACCATATCCAATAGTATAAAACTGGCCTTTACAATGTGACCTGTCTTTGGTTTGTTCTAGTGAACCAGTATTTTTAAAAATACTGTCACATTTCGGTTATAATACATTACGCATGTATATATATTATTACATTTACAAATAAGTTCATAAATGTCAGCTATTTTTCTTAAAACACAGAACAGTAATTGAAGAAATATAGAAAAAAAATTACTTTTTCTACTTACAAACTTTGTATTTGTTTGCCTGCATGCCGTAATTTGCTAAGCCTTGTTAAATTTTTCACGTGGAGGATGCAAATGAAATTAATTTTTTAAGTTTTATGTAAGCATTTTTAAATAACCAAATATCATAAATTACTCTATCAATATTGCGGAATTCCACTGTACTTTATCAGGCTTACTAACTAAATTGTATTTGGGCAAAAAATTCAATGGAATTGTTAACTAGTCAAGTTATGATGCCTTTTAGAATAATTTACTTTTTTTTTTACTTTTACCAGATTGACAACTTTTTGATAGAATAGTGATTTTTGTTTTAAATGGGAAGTCACCAAAGCAACTGCAAGAGTTAAATTGAAATCACAAGTATCCTTCAGGAGAGCACCTTGAAACCAACCAGGCCAAAATGAACTCAGTAGATTTAACACTAGAGAAGGGCATTAATAGCTTTGGAGATTGTAACCAATAATGGTGGCACATTTGAACAATGTGGGAAGTGGGGAAAGACAAGGCATGAAGGAAGACTGTATTTGAAAAGTAGGCCATATTGATTTATTCAATACAAAGCAGTTCAGGGATGGGCAGCTATCCCCTTCTGCTTTACCCATGAAGTCATCATTGCCTTACAGTGTGGCTGTTACTAGTTTAAGTATACCTGAACAGGCACCACTCACCACAGAACGGGATCCATAAAGAAAACAAGAGGGACATGCCTCCAAAAAATAAGAGGTATTTATATATATATATATATACTAAAAGGTAACTTATCCAGTCACAGTCTCACAAAAGAGTGAAAGATGGCAACAGGTGGATGACGGTACCCCGACAAGGAAGAAACAGCTATCGAAAATAGAGAATGGAAGATGAATGTATGAGGTGTAGTTCCAGTGCATGACGAATGAAGTACCTCCAACAAACAACAGGTTTGATATGCAGGGAAAAAGGATGGTGCATGCCTGAAGACACCAGGAATTGATGATGGGAAAAAGGATATAAGGAATAAAAGGCCAATTGAATCACAATCCAAACCCAATGGGTCAGGGAGGAAGGGGAAAATAATCACAGACAAAGCAGTGGAGTAAGGAAAGGAAATCGTGGGAAAAGGATTCAACGAAAAAAAACCTTGAAAACAATGAAACAACCGAAAGCATTTAATAGACCAACAAGGTCATCTGGAACTGACCAAGAAGAAATGGTGAAGATGGTAAGAAACAGAAAAGTCAAAAGAAAGGTGAGTACTCCCAAGGGCCCACAGAAATAAATTATAAATTAAACAAAATTAATGGTAAGAAATTCGGTAGCGAAAGAAACATATGTAATACATGTTATGCATTGAAAAACAACAAAATAGTTAACTGAACTAACAAGTACCCTGGAAGTATAACCATAGGTAAACCGAAATTAATAGACACTGGTTAAGCCTAAGCTAACAAGATATTTAACTTAATTAGACATTAATCCACAAATAGAACTACAGGTAAAACCGAAAATAACAGACATGTGTTAAGTCTAACTGAACAGAAGAAAAACAATATAGTTAAATGAATGATTGATATACCAGTAAGATGAATTACA